AAGGGGAGGTGTTGGCATCCCGTAAACTGAACCTTTTTAGTAGGGGACAGAAAGATTTCAATATGCATATCAAAGCCCCCTCATCAGATGGTACAGCCAGGATTTTCTGGCCCTCAAGCTACTCTGGCTGTATTTTAAGGGTTATCTGGTTGCATTTGAAAGTTACATGTTGAACTTGCATTTGTGTTCCTGATGGGATGTTGGTAAACTTGTGGAAGAAATAATGCCACATTTACGCTTATTAGAACCTCGGAGCTGTGAAAGAACAATGGAGAGGTTATTACTATAAGCCTATAAAGCGGTGGTCCCCAATCTTTTTGGATTTGCAGACTGGTGGCGGTGGGAGAGGGAATAGTTCTGCGCAAGCAGTGGGCACTTGTGGGCCCAGCTCCATTTGTGCAAGCGGTGGCCCATGTGCCCGCAGCTTGAACAAATGGAGCTTCAGACACAAACACTAGCATCTGCCACTTGTGCAGTCTGGGGGTTGGGAACCCCTGCTTTAAAGGAAATAAATAAGTTTAGATTTTTTAAAAAAAAGTTTCCCTTGCAAGTTGTGTCCAACTCTAGGGAGTCGTGGTCATCTCTGATTCACAGCTGAAAAGCCAGCGTTGTCCAAAGATGCTTCTGTGGTCATGTGGTTGGCATGACTATACTCTGAAGGTGCACAAAATGCTGTTAACCCACCCACTGAAGTGGTACCGACTTACTTGCAGTTATATGCTTTTGAACTGCTAGGTGGGCAGGAGTTGGGGCAAGTAAGGGGAGTTCACTCCATCATGTGGTACATGGGTCTTGAACTGTTGACCTTCCAGTCGACAAGCCCAGCGTCTTAACAGCTTGGCCACCATTGCCCCCAGGTTTAGATTAACAGAGGGCAATTTCTGCAGGCTCAGAAATCACGCCAGTCTTTGCCAGACTCCAAAGCTGGACCTTAATGGAAGAGGTAAGGGATTTTGACCCTTAAACTCCCAAATTTCTGAAAAACAAAGATCTGCTACATATATATGCACCATAGATCTCAGTGAACTTCAATGCAAGGAGTTTCCATGTTCATTTTTAGAGTAGAATAGAAGAGAATAGAATAGAACAGAATAGAATAGAAGAGAATTCTTTATTGGTCAAGTGTGATTGGACGCTCAAGGAATTTGTCTTTGGTGCATATGTTCTCAGTGTACATAAAAAGATACATTCGTCAAGAATCATAAGGTACAGCACTTAATGATAGTCATAGGAATATCAATAGCAATCAGGAAACTATCAATATAAATCGTAATGATATATGCAACAAAATTACAGTCATGTAGTCATAAGTGGGAGGAGACGGGCGATAGGAATGATGAGAAGACTAATAGTCATAGCAATGCAGCCTTAGTGAATGGTTTGACAGTGGTGAGGGAATTATTTGTTTTACGTGATTCACTCCAACAAATCCTCGAGTTATGAATATAATTGTCAGCATCCATTACATTCGTAACTCGAGGACTACCTGTATTCCAGTAATGAATATTTGTAGCTGAGGGCTGAACTGCGGAGTCCTTGGTGCTCTCTGAGCTTGGTTGTTTGCTTGCAGATGTTTCATTACCTGTTCTGACCCACCTTTTCATACACCAAAGCACACTGAGACAAAGATACTTCAAGGATTTATTAACACACAGACTAGACCTTGGCAGCAATCCAGCCTGCCAAGATAGCCACGATAGCTTCTCCAGCTCTAGTAAATACGTTGATTCCTGCGACGAGCGGCGAGCATGTGGAAAGTCATTCCTTTTGTAGTCTTGAGAGGAGCCTACTTACCACTAGCTGAATCCAATTATCTCCTGTAACTGCGCAGCTGTTCTTTACGCCTATTAGCCTTCCGTTGCAGGGCATCCAGGACCAACTCCATTGTCTCCTCCCCACTGCTCCAAGGCTTGACTTCGGGAGCATGCTCTCACCGCTGCTCCAGGCCTCAGGTGCCTCCTGGTGGCCAACCAGCCTCTCTG